TGCTGGAGAGATGGCTCAGAGGTTAAGAGCACTGGCTGCTCCTCCAGAGGTCCTGAGTTCATTTCCCAGCCACCACATGGTAGCTCATATAGTGGGATCTGATGCCCTCTTCTGGCATAAAGGTGTACATGCAGACAGAGTACTCATACATAAAATAAATTTTTTAAAGGTTTTTTTTAAAAAAGGGTAGAAGTAGGGTATTTGCGATTGGGAGAAACCACTTCTCACACCAGATGTATGGGGACCTGACACCTCCCCCTCCTCATTCTGCAGCAATGCTTACATTAGATGCTTCTGTATACACCAGCTGGGTGCCTTATAATTTAAGTCAATTCAGACATCCAAAATAGCATCAGATCCACCTGATTAAGGACTAGTAGTTTGTTGCTTAGAGTTTTTTGGTGCTAGGGATTGAACCAAGTGCTGTCCTAATTTAAAATAAGGAAAATAATAATACACTTTGCAGGACCATCTACTTTTTTTTTTTTTTTTTTTTTTTTTTTTTTTTTTTTTTTTTTTGGTTTTTCGAGACAGGGTTTCTCTGTGCAGCTTTGCGCCTTTCCTGGGACTCACTTGGTAGCCCAGGCTGGCCTCGAACTCACAGAGATCCGCCTGCCTCTGCCTCCCGAGTGCTGGGATTAAAGGCGTGCGCCACCACCGCCCGGCCGACCATCTACTTTTAAAAGATTTATTTTTAAAGATTTATTTTATGTGTATGGGTGTTTTGCTTGCATGCATGTCTGTTTACCATATGCATGCCTGGTGCCCACCAAGGTCAGAAGAGAGCCTTGGATCCCCTGGAACAGGAGTTACAGGTGGTTGTGAGCCCCCATGTAGGTGCTTGGAATGGAAGCCGAATCCTCTGCAAGAGCTCTTTACTGCTGCACCATCTCTTCAGCCCCTATTCTTTAAGATGATTTGTATGAAGTGCACATATGTCAGACAGAACACATGTGATAACAGGAGTCAGTAAAATGTGCTATGCCGGTATGGCTCACTTCCATCCTTAGCTTTGTCTCATTTCTTTCCATCATGATAATTCTCCAAAATATAAAGTTTATTTTCACTGTTTTTAAATATTTCTTTTCCATTGTTACCTGCTTCTTTTTTTTCTTTTCCTGAATTTGTTCAAATTCTTATTTCTTCAAAAAAGTACTTCTTCTTTGCTAATGATTGTTTCTGTGCCATCCAGTTTGATAGCTTTCCTTCTTTTTTTTTGTCTTTGCTAATGAAGTCTGCTGGATGGTAGAGTGGACTGACAGTTCTGGGTAAAAGTTGTTTAGTAGAAGGAGCATTGATTGGGCTTGAGTCAGAGATATTGAATTCTAGACTAGCACTTGGGATAGCACAGTAGGATTTTGTTGATGATCAGGTAAAATATGTGTATAAAGGAAAGCTGTAAGCTGTTGATGGTACAATATATCATTATTTTTATGACTCTTGTACTTGTACTGTGTCTTGTCCCTATTAAAATTTAAAGGTTAATTATAATGACTTTTATAAACACTGTTTATAAAAGAGTTACCTGAAGTTAAAAGATGTAACTGTTCATGCATTTTTAAAGTTATAATCAACAGTTCAGGATGAAAGTGTTGTAGCTATCTGTTTTAAGTATTTTTTTGATATTTAGTAATTATTCTTCTAATAAAGTGCTGAGTTTTATTATACTGAAGTATAATTTGATTTCCAATTCCATCAAATTATTTTTGTTTAGTTAAGTCTCTTTGTTTACTAACAACTGGTGATCAAATGAAAGAGGGATATTTCTGAGGTTTCTGTTCTTCTTTCTTAGATCAGTCTTAAGAGGAAGAAAATGAGAAATTAGAAATACAGATTCCTTTGTGGTTTATTCTGACATAAATTTGATATGTAAGTGGAATGATGTGTACAAGCAGGCTTTGTTACAGAGTTGTAGCGGCAGGTCTAATGAAATTCTTGTGTGCTTTCCTGTCCTCATTTAGTTTCCTTGTTTTAGTTACATGCCTTGCTTATTGATGACATTTGCAGTGAAAAATAATCAAATCACAGCTCTGCTAGTTAACAGATAAGCGCCTATGAAAAACAATTATAAAAAACATTATGTAACAATTTGATAAAACCAAGTTTTCTTAGGCCATTATAGGTTTCTAAAAATTATCTCACTGTTACAGTTTAGATGGTGGTTCTATTTTCTAGGTACAGATTTAAAAATTTTTTCTGTTACAAAGATAACTATTTTATATTTTTAAGGTTTAGGACTTTTTAATCATATAATTCTTATGTATCAAGAGATTTACAAGATAAGTCCTAGACTGGCAGAAAATAATTTAAAATATTATCTGGTAATTGTTAAAGAACACTTAAAATATGAAAATGAAGCAGCCTGATAAAAGTGAGCCCAAGACCTGATTAGATACTTCTTCAAGGAGGACAGAAAGGGCTTAACAACACTTGGTGGGACAGCTGTAACAAAATACCGTAGACCGCTGGCCTTGGTGTAGGACATGCCTTTAATCTAGCACTCAGGAGGCAGAGGCAAGAGGATCTTTCTGCATTCAAGACCAATTTGGTCTTGCCTTTTAGTAGGTAAATAAATAAACTATAGTACCTCAGAGTACTATAATATTCTGAAAAGATGTAGAGGAAACTAAAGTGCAGATTACCAAGTAAAGCCAGTATGAAAAGGCTACCTACAGTATGACTCCAACTTTGGAGAAAACAAAACTACAAGGACAGTAAAAAGGTCAGTGCTTACTATTATTTAACACGGAGGATGAATAGACAAAAGAAAGACAGAAGATTTTTTAGGCCAGTTAAAGTATTTTGTATTATAATAGTAGGTTATATATCATTCTATATTGTTTAAACCTGTAGAATTTCCAAACAAGAGTGAACCTTAAACTATAAACTTAAGGTTATGAAAATGTCAGTGGCCAGGCGGTGGTGGTACACGCCATTAATCCCAGCACTTGGGAGGCAGAGCCAGGTGGATCTCTGTGAGTTCAAGGCCAGCCTGATCTATAGAGCAAGATCCAGGACAGGCTCCAAAGCTACACAGAGATACCCTGTTTCAAAAAACCAAAAAAAGAAAAAGAAAAGAGAGAAAATGTCAGTGTTCATTTATTGTTGTAATAGACCACTTTGGGGGGAGATGTTAATTGTGGATATATAGTAGTTATATATATATATATATCCACATATATATATATATATAACTAGTAACTCAAGGAAGAGAAAGGGGGAGATTTATTCATGTTGGCTTACAGTTTCAGACATTCAGCTCATAACTTGCTTTATTTTTGTATCTGAAATGAGACAGAGCATCATGGTAGCAGGAACATGTAGCAGGGGATACTCATATGGTGGGCAGGAAGTAGTAAGAGGAGATGGGCAGGGACAAGATGCTACCAAGGACCTTATCCAGCAACTTGCTTCTAGCCAGGTCCACTTCTCAGTTTCCAGAACATCACAAAATAGCACTGCTAGCTAGAAGCAAGATTCCCAACATACAGGCCTTTTTGAAGGGATACTTCCTATCCAAACCATAACAACAGATTAGCCTATGCATCTACAGACAGAAGCTATATGGGAATTCTGCTGAGAATATTTTGGAAAAAAACCAACATGTTTAATTCTTTTTCTTATTTTTAATGGAAAAAAGGAATTTTGGATACCAGGGCTGTTCTTCTGACTTTACCTGGTATGGTACAATTCAGTTTTGACAGAGTTAGCATCAGATGATACGGGTTCAAAACATAAACCCTAATAACTGGCCTTATTTGGATACAAAGCAGTTTCCTAGGCTAAACACACTTCTTGCTCCAAAGTCGGGGGCGTCCCAAGATTTTTTTTTTTTTTTTTTGAGACAGGATTTTTCTGTGTAGCTTTGAGCCTTTCCTGGAACTCACTCTGTAGCCCAGGCTGGCCTCAAACTCACAGAGATCTACCTGCCTCTGCCTTTCCCAAGATTTTTTCTCTCTGCCTCTCACAAGATTGTCCTCATTTAAGATGCCATATGCTATGGGAAGAGGAAGGTTCTTGGAAGAAACACAGAGGGTGGTGTCTGAACATAGAGCTTCCATGCTTCTCCCTGTATACTTAGGATACATCAAGCTCCTAGCATCTCTATGCCTTTCCACCCAGAAAGCTTCCCTGTACAGCAGTATCTAGACTGAAGTGCAGGACGGCACAGTTAGGCATGATTGATTGAATACTGGCTACATAGTAGTTTAACTATAAATTTGCAGTCCTACTTCTCTCCATGGAGGTTTTGCTGGGCCAAAGCCCTGATCACAGGATTGGTCTTTCTGGGACCAGTGAATTCTTGTTTTCATGGAAACTCTGTTGTGAATCAAGGGGCACACACCTGAGTAACAGAGATACTCCAATCACCTGGGAAAACCCTATGCTGAAGCACCCAGGAGCCAAGGCCAAAGGGATGACAGCCTTAACACCAGAGTTTTGGGTGGAGAGAAGCATTTTGTGAGTTCTGATGGTTCTGGGGATCATCAAGTACAGGACCTTGTGCGTGCAAGGTAGCATTCTACCATGAGTTACTTTCTGAGCACATAGGTTCCCTTCCCTCCTCCCATCCTTCTTTCCCCTCTTTCTTTTTTTCTGAATTTGGAAATGTTCTGTGGAAAGCTGAGGTGACAATGAAGTATTTAAAATTGTTATATTCCAGAAGAAAAGTTGAGTTTATCTCTACGAATCTGGTGTTTTAGTAGTTTAGAGCTTGCAGCCATTTATATCTTTATAAATCATGTGGTTTTGAATCTTGTATTTACAGTTTTATCAGTAAATATATTTCTTTTGATGTAAAGGAGGATTTTGAACAACAGTGAACAGAGAGAAGCCTCCTTAGTGTTTATTGCCTCACACTGTTGAAGTACACAGCAGCAGCATTGTCTAGGATCCACATTGCTTTGTCGGACTTATTTTTCCTTTTAATAGTAGGTTATGTAAGTTTTAGGTTTCTCTTTCCTCCAAGGAACTGCTTACTTAATCTTTTTCTTTTGCAGATTGATTACACTGGAACAGAACCTTCCAGCCCCTGCAATAAATGTTTGTCTCCGAATGTGACATCTTGTGTTTGTACCATTAACTTCACCCTGGAAGAGTCATTTGAGGTCTGTGTTTTAGTGTTGGAAAAGGCATGCTTTAAAAAATACTAATACTGTTTTTTTTAGATACTTAATTTATATTGAGAAATCAGCTTAGTTTATTGGAATCTATAGACATTTGAAGATTATTCTGTATATCTGGCTGTTGCATAATTAAATGCCCCATTTTTTTTTTCTTTTTTCTTTTTTTTTGGTTTTTCGAGACAGGGTTTCTCTGTGTAGCTTTGCGCCTTTCCTGGAACTCACTTGGTAGCCCAGGCTGGCCTCGAACTCACAGAGATCCGCCTGCCTCTGCCTCCCGAGTGCTGGGATTAAAGGCGTGCGCCACCACCGCCCGGCTTAAATGCCCCATTTTTAATGGCAGAAATCTTGAAGTATCAAGTTATTTCTTCATATTTCAATTTCTCCTTAGATGGTATAAATTCTTAATCTTTTAAAATTTTCTCAATTTTTAAAATAACTTTTAATTAAAAAACAAGTCTTACTGTAGACAACACTGATTATCCCATTACTTAACTGAATTATTTGTGAGGTATGAAACAGTATCCAAAAATCAAATGCTTATTAAAACTTTATTTTATACCTTGGTATTTGGACACTGCCCCCCCCACCCCCACCGCCGCCGCCGTGTGTGTGTGTGTGTGTGTGTGTGTGTGTGTGTGTGTGTGTGTGTGTGTGTGTGTATGTGTGTGCGCCTATGTAGTATTAATATTGGTCTCTATTCTTGGTAACTGAGCATGTGGGAAAAGACATAAAATTTCAAAATCAGCGTGGATAGAGACCAGTTTTTTCCTGCCTTCTACCTGAAAATTGAGTTTAAAAACATTCTTCAGGAAGCAACGCTGTCATAATACATACCAAGGTTTGAGTTTCCTTATTCAGACTTTCTAGATGCAGTGATAATTTTAGTATTTACTGGTGGATGGAAGCCATCTAGTGGTTATAGATGCTCTTGCACTAAGGTAAAGTGCCTTTGGCTTTGGGACAAAGATGTGAAAACCCATTTGGGAAAAGACTGAAAAGTGCACTTTTCAGTGTGGTGGGTATAAAGATGCAGTAAGTCTCAGTTTTGTGCAGAATTGAAGAAATGAGAGAGTTTGAACAAGTTAGGAGTTCTGTTATCTCCTACTTATTCAAAACCATTTACTTTAACTCAGAAGGCTGAAGCAGATGGATCTGTGTGAGTTTGAGGCCAGCTTGGTCTACAGAGTGAGTTCCAGGATGGCCAGGGCTGTTACACAGAGAAACCCTGTCTCGAAAAACCAAAACCAAATGAAACAAAACCAACAACCAAACAACCCACTTGATTTAGAATTCCCTTTTAAAGTGGCCATTTATTTGCTGTAGATGTGTTTCTTCACAGATTTTGAGTTGGACTAAAACCAGTTCAGGGAACTTAAATGGTAGTATTATTTTCTATCAGACTTGATTGAGAGGATCACTTTTTCAGTTTACAAATTCAATTTACTATTATTGGTTGTTAATTGAGATGCTATTCTTTTTTTCCTAAAAATCACATTTATCATGTTTTTGTCATACAATTTGATACTATTGCCTCAATGATTTCCACTTAAACATCTTTTGTGTACAGTGGAAAAATTTATGGTATGCTATTTAACAATCAATATTTTCATTCATTTATTTACTTTTTGATGCACAATTTCATTATGCATTCTAGGTTGGCATTAGGCTTGCTGTGTAGCTCAGGATCCTCCATTTGCCTCCTAAGTGCTGGCTAGGATTGCAAGCTTCTTCCACCAAACCCATCAGTAGTCAGTCTTTAAATGATAATGTCTGTGAAAGTAGCAAATTAAATGAATCACTTCTAAGTTTAGAGAACTTCTTTAAATTGAAGATATGAATATAAAAATAGAGGCTGGCTGGCCAATGGTGGTGCATGTCTTTAATTCCAGCAGAGGCAGGTGGATCTCTGTGAGTTGAAGGCCAGCCCAGTGTACAGAGTAAGTTCCAGGACAACCAGGGCAACACAGAGAAACCCTGTCTCAAAAAACAAAAATAGATTAGAATAAATATCCTCCCCCTCTCTCCAGAGAGGTTGTAATCAGAAAAGAGAAATAGCATTTTCCTACCGCTAACAGTTTTAGTCAGATGGTTTCTTAGCACCTTGTAGTTAATTCAGTATATGTATATTACTCTTTTTTCCCCAAGATAGTTTTGAAGTTGCCTCCATAAGAGTACCACTCTTGATTATTATTATTATAAGATATTATAACTGAATATATTTCAGCAACTACTAATTTACTAATTGCTAACAGTCTACAGCATCCAGAGGGAATATTTGGAGGACAGAAGGGGACCAGTGCAAGGTGGAAGGAAGAATAATGAGCAAAGTACAATGATATATATGTATAAAAATGCTATTATAAAATATTTGGTACACTAAAAATTTTAATAAATAAAAAAATAGTATAAGTAGCATCCTGTTGAACTTGTATATTCTCATTCCATTTATAGTTTATTTGGATAATAAAAGTTTTATCATTCTTCTGAAAGGTAGATGCTAATTGGATGAAAACCAATCTGAATTAGAGAAAATTTTATATTAAAAGTAACTCAGGGCACACTAATATTCTTTTATTATTTTTTAATAAAAATAATATTTTGTGTGTGCGTGCATGTGTGTGTGTAGGTGTGCAGTATGCTGTGTGCATGTCTTCCTTTGTCACCTTATTTCATGAGATGAACCTGGAGCTTGTCATTTTCATTTAAATTAGGCTGGCTGTCCAGCAAGCTCCTGGGATTTGCCTGTTTCCCCACCCCCATCTCCCTCCATCTCTGGTAATAGACGAATGTTGCCACGCCTGACCTTTATGTAGGTGTTAAGGTTCACACTGAGGTCCTTATACTTGCACAGCAAAGCATTTACCTAGTGAACCATCTCTCCAGACTGCACAGAATACTTGAAGGATAGTTTAAAAGTTTACTTGTGTGTCTTTGTAACATAGCTTCTTTACTTTATTTACAATTGTACAATTTATTTTTGTGTGTTTGCTTGCTTTTGTGGTGTTGGGGATTGAATTCAGGGCCTTAGACATGAACATTCTGGGCAAATCTTGCTGTCACAGCTGTAGTCCCAGTGTTCATTAAGTACTTGGTAACTAGCTTTCCTAAGCCAGTTAAAACAGTGTACCTAGGCCCACTTAGTTCAGTGCCTGACTCCTAGGTAGCAATAGTTTTCCTTCTTTTAGAACTTAACTAAGAATTTAGGAGCTAGAGTATAGTTGTTCTACTATTAGTTGATTTATATTTAATTTTACAATTTTTGTTGCTATTTCACCTCAGTACCAGTTTATTAAAAATTGTAAACTGGTCAAGTACAGATTGCTTAAGTTTTACAAAATATGAAACAAGTAAATGTCAATTTTTATGTTAAAAGTTTTCTCCTTTCTGTTTTCTCTAGGGCAATGTGTTTATGTATTATGGACTGTCTAATTTCTATCAAAATCATCGTCGCTATGTGAAATCTCGAGATGATAGCCAGTTAAATGGAGACCCTAGTGCTTTGCTTGTAAGTAAAATGATAAAATACAGAAAGGTGGCATCTTTGAAATAAGAGTATAGTAAATATTCATTTAGAAGTGTTAAAGAACTTAATCTCGTGGGAAGTTAAAGTATTACTTGTCATTTCTAGTTTTAACAAGTTTTTAGTTAAAATGCTTTTTCTGGAATGCTCACAAAATAACTTCTCAATCCCACTACCCGCTCATTTCTAGTAGTCATTGGGAGTTTTCGCTTCATCTGTTTGTGATGGCATTTTGATGTATGATGTGTGTGTTCTGTTTGGGTCTGTTCATTATTCTTGTGCTAGGTAGCGATATGCAGTTGAGCTGTTTTTGATTTCTGGGATTGTGCTTTGAAATTGAGTGACTGAACATTTTTTAAACTTGGTGGGAAGATGAAGCAGCAAAAATTTAATGTTTCCAGAATTCCCAAGTCTGCTGTGTGTGTGTTTGCTGGAGTAGAACTGTATCCTTTTCTGATTCTTGGCTCCGTTTGGTAATCTGTGGATGGCTGTTCAACTTTCCATAGTGTTTAGTACCTAATTAGGAATAGCTCATCATTTCTCCAGAGATTTAGATGATAATTTCTCTCTCTCTCTCTCTCTTTTTTTCTTCTGAAAACTAGAATCCAAGTAAGGAATGTGAACCTTATCGAAGAAATGAAGATAAACCAATTGCTCCATGTGGAGCTATTGCCAACAGCATGTTTAATGGTATGCTAGATAGAAACATCCATGCAGATAGATGATCAGGAAACTGTGTGCACTTAGGAAACTATTTGTGCTAGTAGGAAACTATGTAGTAGTCTAGTAATGTGAATGAAATTAGGAAATTCACCTTCAAGATAAATACTCAAATAATGAATAGGATTTAAATGTTCTGTGACTTCCCTTGGGATGTTGTTTATGAGAATGGATTTCTATCAATGAGAAGAAAATAGAATCTTCCTGTTTCTTATAAAAAAGTAAAAGCCACAGAGCTACTTTCACCGATTTATACCATTAAAAGGGAGTTATGTTGATCATTTAGATATACATTGCCTGATAGGAATACAATTTGAACCATAAATACAAACTATTTCAAATTTTCTAGTACTTATATTAAAAACCCTCAAAGGAAACAAGTAAAATTAGCTTGAATAATTTATTTAATCCAGTGTGCCCCAAATAGTATCATTTCAGCATATAAACATAACTGAAATATTTTTTGTGTTTTTTACACCAAGACCCTGATAGCTAGTGTGCATTGCACATTCAACAGAACTTGTTCATTTGTACCAACCGTGTTTCAGGAGTGGAATGATTGCCAAGTACAGAAAATGGGAAAGGCAGGAGCTGTTAGGATACAACAGTAGCCAAAGAAAGAGAAGAGAAAAACGATGCCATTGCCCTTTTATTTGGATTGACATTAAAATCCTTGTTCTTCTAACATCAACTAGTCATTCAGGAAAGTGACCTAGCTCTGTAGTAAATGTAGAGCCCATCTATCCATCTAGAATTCTAAAGTTGTAAAAGTTAATTCACACCTGTATAAAGGACACGCATTAACCCTGTGCCTTCTCTGTCAACTACTTTCAGAGGAAGTCCCAGATTCTCATTTCTCATGGAGTAAATCAGTTGCTATGGATTTTTAGTAGATGTTAGTAATATCTTCCATTTCTTATGCTTAGATACACTAGAATTGTTTCTGGTTGCCAATGAATCTGATCCCACACCTACGCCAATTGCTTTGACGAGAAAAGGTATTGCTTGGTGGACAGATAAAAATGTGAAATTCAGAAATCCACCTGGAAAAGAAAGCCTTGAAGAAAAATTTAAAGGTAAAACATGACCAATATCCCCTCTTGTCCAAAAGCTAGTAGTTTTAGTTAGTAAGGTAACCTAAATTTTGTCTTTAGAGTCTTAATTTATTTATTTTTTTGAAGAACAGCATTTTCCTTCTCAGCATTATACCAAGTTATGTAAATGTTCAGATGTACTAAAATTGTAAATGAATGTGTGTTTTTAATTGTGATTTGTATTTCTCTGGTGTTTTCAGCTGTATTCTTTACAAACTGAAACAGAGTTTATTTTAATCAGCTTCTATTTATAATGCACATATATTTTTGTTTTTATACTGCCTTAGTTTCATAATGCAATATTTCTTTTTAAAATTTATTTTTGCATTTATATATTTATTTTGTATGTGTGTGTACAAGCATATGTATGTATATATACATGTGCCATAGAGCATGCATTGGGAATCTCCTCTTCCTTTTAACCATGTGGTCCTGGGAATTGAATTCTGGTCCTCAGATCTGGTGGCAAGTGCCATTGCCTGCTGAGCCGTCTCACTGGCCCAAACATTCTTAACATTATATTTTTGCATTAAGTAATCTGCCTTTTATTTAGTATCCTTTTTGTATTCTTTTGAGATATCAACTGTCTTTTTTAGTTTTTGTTGTAGATAGAATTGGTTTCTCTTTAGATTTTAAGACCTCTTTAAGATATGGATATATTTATACCTTTGAAAATATTCAGATTGTGTTTTGTACTGCTTCTTTTTTTAGTACTATGAATTTTCATTGAAACTCTTCATAGAATTGAATATTTTGTTTTCACATCTCTCTCCCTTCCCAACTTATCTTTAAGATACAACAAAGCCAGTAAACTGGCATAAACCAGTATTTATGCTAGATCCTGATGAAGATAATAATGGATTTATAAATGAGGATTTCATTGTTTGGATGCGTACTGCAGCGTTACCTACTTTTCGTAAGTTGTATCGTCTTATAGAGCGGAGAAATGATTTACATCCAACATTACCAGCTGGACAGTACTATTTGAACATCACATACAGTATCCTTTTTTTTTGCTTATGTGTACACAAAGAGTTTAAAAGAGTTTCATTGCCTTATGTTAGTTATGTGACATGTTACTTTGTACTCTAGATTTATTTATTTTGTGATATTGGTAATTGAATGTGGAGTCTCATACTTCCATTTCTGCATAGATATCAAGTCTTATTTATTTAATTTTTTAACTTTAAAGATATTTATTGTTATGTATTTATGTATGATATGTGCACATGTGCCAAGGTACATGTGAAGAGGCGAGAGGATAACTTTGTGGAGTTGATTTTTTTCTTGTCACCTTTTTGTATGGGTCCCAGGAATTGAACTCATGTCATCAAGCTTGTACATCAAGTGCTTTTACCCATTGGGCCATCATCTCTTTAGGCCAGAGCAGGCTTTTATAAGAAAGAAATACTGGGCAGTTCCTCTTATCCTTAACAAAGTTCAGTGTTTTTAAGTATTTTGCCCATTATTTATATATATATATATATACTGTAAACATAAAGATTCCTAAATATTAGCATTTTAAATCTGTGTTGGATTTTTGCACTTTTTATTATCTGAATAAGCCATAAGTACATTTTTTGTTTGTTTGTTGGTTTGTTTGAGACTGGCTCTCATTATGTAGCCTTGGATGGCCTGGACTTCTCTGTCTCTCCAGAATAGACTGGCCTCAAACTCAGATTCAGCTGCCTCTGACCCAGAAGTTTTAGAATTAAAGGTGTGCACCACCACGCCCAGCCTAGATTTTTGTTTATTTGTTTTGTCTTGTTTTTTCTAGTTTGAGTTATATAGTAAATTAGTAAATGGCTACTAGGCTAATTTTTAAAGTAAAGATTACCTTTGGTTCTTGGACTCTTGGTTGTACAACTGAATATGGCCTAATAGTGGCTGACTGAACACAACATGGCTTTGAAACCATGCCCATTTAGGAGCAGTTTTGCCAGTGTGAAGCCAAATATAGAACATGGGAGAGGAAAGTCTGGAGCACTGGGAAGTTCAGAGAGGGCCGACAGTTCTCATGTAGAGAGTCTGCAGCAGAGTCCCAGTACTGAGAGCACTTTCAGAAGAAAGGCAGGACATCTCAAAGACTGACAGTACAACACCTACAGGAACCTTGGGGCTTGCAACATCTGCGATTAGCTGTAAAAAAGTACAAGATAAGGAGGAAAGTAAGAGCACAGTTGAATGGAGTTAAAGTGGAAGCCCATATTTTTAGAGGAAGAGGAGAAAGCGGGAACATAGTTGGTTTGATACTGTGTCTGGTCCTGGGACAGTTGGATTAAGTATCATGATTCCTGCCTCAGGTTAAGATTGATTTCAGTAATTAGAGTGGGGCCTGCCACACCTCCAGACTGTGTCCTGAGGGACTGCAGTTGTGCCCCTTTTCAGTTCAGATTTTAATTTTGTCTTCTTTATTCTCTTGCCAGCATCCTTGAATGAGCCATGTAAATAGTTCATCCACCAAACTGCAGTCTCCTCTCTGGTCTCCTTACCAGTCAGTTTTGACTTCTGCACTGTCTGAGCTATCATTCTTTCAGAGCATGAGTTTTGTTATTGCCTCAAATGAGCTGGCTAAAATTGGGCATCATGCTTTGTGACCCTCTACTTAGAGTGCTCTCTGTCTTATAGATACATGCTTAAACACACTCTTTGAGCTTAGGACTTCAGATTGTTTTCTGCTTTCTTGTCTGTCCTTGTGGGCATCATTGCTGCTCATCTGACATATTTTTCCATATTGCATTACTTTGAAGCCATTAGTACCTCTTAGGTAATGAATAGGAGTAAAACTACCCGAGATACTATATAGATCTGAATTTTATTGTTTTGATAAAACATTTTGGCTTTTGCTAGTAACATTATTTCACTAGATCAGGTCTGGGAATATTTATCAGGGGTAGAGTGTCTTGCCTTTGGTTCAATGTCTAGTAACACATAGAGAAAATTACCTAAATTAGGTTTTTAAGATGGTTTTATTTGTGGCACATAGTGGCACGTGCCTTTAATCCCAGCCCTTGGAAGGAGGAGTCAGGCTGATCTCTTGTGACTTCAAGGCCAGCCTTGTCTACATAGTTAGTTCCAGGACAGCTGGAGCTACATAGTGAGACCCTGTCTCAAAAACAGGAGCAAAAAAGTACAGTTCCATCCATCCATCCATTTATTGTGATTGAGAATATACAAGGGAGGTATCCATGTATCAGAATTTATATAAATGAATTATAAGGAGTTAAATGTTAACTTTAAAACTTGTGTTCTAAACATCAAGTAACCACGGACAGAAAGTCTTCCTATACCCTTGTCAGATTACCCCGTACATTCGTTTGATGGACGAAAACGGATGATCTTGAGCACTATTTCATGGATGGGAGGAAAAAATCCATTTTTGGGAATTGCTTACATCACTATTGGATCCATCTCCTTCCTTCTGGGAGTTGTACTGCTAGTAATTAATCATAAATATAGAAACAGTAGTAATACTGCTGACATCACCATTTAATTTTATATTCTGAAAACAAATCTACTGCATGTGCATCAAGGCCAGTCCTGTTCAACCTAGCTTTTGAATGCTGATGTCTGGTTAGTATGTCATTTTGAAGTTGGCACATAACTTAAAAAAAAAAAAAAAACAGCCTTTGTCCTTTGCTTCTTACATATGGATGACTTATGAAAACATATGACGGGTATAAAAATTAGCTATATTGATCATATCAATATTGTAACTGCAAAAATGGCATTCTAATGTCTGCTTTTTATTGGGACAGGCCATGTGATGCATAGAGCCTCTTTCATGTGAAATGAGTCTACTGCTTAAACGTTATGCTGTGCTGATAACATTATATTGACATGATGTTGTATATGTGTGCCTACTGTGTGAAGAAAGGGATTATGAGATGTATGAGTGTAATGACTTGCTAACCTTTTGAATTTGGTTACAGTTCAGATTGAAGAAAGACTAAATATAAATAAAGCACTTCATCATTTTCATGTGTCGTGTGTAAAGGCTTAAAGTCCCTCCTTGTTGAGGTGGTTCGTGTGTTCAGTTTCTCTTATAGTTATTTGAAAATGACTTTGATTTCAGAGGACATACTTAGCTTGTCCAGTATAGAAATTAATATCTAAAGAGATAGGTAGGTCTTGGATAGAATTTTAAGTTCCCTTTCATTTGGCTAACATGTTGCATTCTGGAGTCCAAGCTATTTGAAATGTTTATATGTGATCATCTCCCTGGAAGCTTACACTTCATAAGGGAAGAAAGAATATAGGTGAGAAGGGACAACTGCTTGGCAAACCCTCATCCTCTGCCTCAACTGTAAACCAGGTGTAAATGTTCAAAGGAGACTTTTCATTGTTGTGGTGTGTAGTGTTAAGATGATTGCTCTGCCTTGGAAATACCTCAAGCTGTTCTTACGTAGCAGGTAAGTATTTTGACTTAGTCTAATATAGCCCAGAAAAAAAATTGAAATCCTAATTTCTTCCATATTTCATTAAATTTTTGCATACAGGTCAAATAAATATGGATATGTATACACATTTCCTTTAATGAAGGTAATGTTTTGATTAGTTTTCCCTAAGATATACCTTAAAAAGATGTTCTATACATTTCCTGCTTAAATTCAGGGGGATTTGGAGTATGTACATGATAAAAAAAGATTATAATATATCTGATTGAAGTTACTTTATTTTCTAACTAGAATTATTTTAATATTCCTTTATTGAATAAATGCTGTAATTTGTTTGCTGTGGAAGTTATTCCTGAAGTGAATGTAAATTATTTTTCCACATGCATGAAAATGTATTAATCAGAGTTGAATTCATTGCATTGAGATTACTTCATTGTTTTTTACGCTAAAGTAACTCATATTTATGTAGTAGAATGCTTGTGTTTTCAGACTTTGTAATGCTTTCCTATGGTTATATTTTAAATCAAAAGGTCTGAGTAATGTTTCAGTTTAGATTAAGATGTGCTTAAAATAACAAAAATCTCTATGGTTCATAGTAGAAATGTGCCACACTTAAGCTTGTACGATATGAAATTCTGTTAAAAGAGCTTGTAATTCATGGTGACTTTTAACTTATAAAAATATTACTTGCATGGGTTACTCAATTTATGGATAGAGGAAACTTTCTCAGGACATAAGTTCTTCTTTCTCTAAAACTATCCTTTTGTCAGTCATTCAGAGTGCTGTTATTCTGAAAATTGCCCCTCGTGCATATGATGATCAGTTTATTTGGGGGATTCTTCATAAGACATGAGATATTTCTGCCCGTCTTTCCAGAGTAAGTGCTGTTTAAAGAGGACTACTAGCCTGCATCTCTTTCTCTAAATGGGGGCCAAGGGGTCTGAAGAAAATCTGAAGAAGTCTAACATTTTCACATCTTGGAGAAGATGGAATCTTTAAAAGTACAATTGAAGCTTTATCTATTTTACAAGTGCATTGATGATCTATGTTCTTCCCTGGTTCCTGTCATTTGAAATCAACTCCTGTTGTATAAATGAAGAAAATGGGACATTTAATATTTAGAAAAGTTGATGTCATTAAGGTGACTAAGTAGAAGGCTTAGAACAATGCGTTAATTTGCAAGGAAGTGTTTTGGCATGAGAAATTTTCCAACTGAAAAAAATTATTCAGTAAGCAAAAGCTAAGACGTTTCATTAAAGTCATAAAGCCATTTAAAATAAACTGGAGAAAATAACTGTGTTCTAATAGAGAACAATTCAATTAAGAGACAAATGAATATTATTTGTTGGATAGTGACAGAGTTTATTTGTAACTTTAGTTATATTAAAAGTTAACATTCTGTTAGGATGTTTTGTATTAATAAAAGTGAACAAGATTAACTGTGCTATGTTTAAGTGTCTTACTAAAATAACGATGTCCCTTTGTTCTTGCTAATAGTTAGGACTCAGTTTTAACCAGGCTTAGGGAGTCCAGGTTTTAACTCCATGGTTCTCAACATGTGGGTCATGGTCCCCACAGTGATCATGTATCAGATATCCTGCATATCAGATACTTACATTACTGTTCACAACATTAGCAAGATCACAGTTAGGAGGCAGCAACGAAATAATTTTATGGTTGGGGGTCACTACAACATGAGGAAGTGTGAGCAGCATTAGGAAGGTTGAGAACCACTGTTTTAACTTCTTCATGTGTGCATTTGATAAAAATGTCATCAATTATCAAATTATTATGCTTATTAATCACTGACAACATAATCACGAAACTTTAGTTACTGAAGAGCATCTATTCTTACCAGGAAATGGTGAGGTTGTTAACCCGAGTTCTAGGCAGACTAAGTCTAACTGGCTAAGGTTGGTGTTCTAGTGAGGGGAATGGACAGTGACAGCGATGAAGCCAAGGAGGCAGTAAATGCAAACGCTAACATGAAGGAGGAGCAGTTGAGAAGCAGGGCTTGGAACACTGCTCAACCTGCTGCTCCCGGTCTGCAAGGAAACACTGCCTGAGGATTATTACAGTTGCTCTTTAAGTTGCAAAGTTTTAGTTTTTGTGAACATGATAGTTTTAAGGGTGAAGGGGGTAAAAGTACTGCTGTCCCAAAGTTTTGATGTCTTAATGTCTGTTGTAGAGTTTGGATAATCTGGTAACGTATTTTAAAGCTCACTTTGGTCCATGCACCCATCAGTCAGTAGATGTGAAAAGCACATTTTTCATAATGTCATTTGAAATTTTAAAATAAATATATTGTCTAAAACCAAATGAGACCATGGTGACCTTATTTGCTTTTATATATAAAAGTAAGGTATGTGCAGTTTCCAAAGTCAAATAGTTATTATAAAGCCATTATGATGAAAAAGAATAATCCTCAACAGAAATTTCCTTTTATTCCCCAGAGACTCACACACAAAGTAAATAAATGTAATTTTTAATTAGAAAGAAATAACATATAAATCCTTTTCCAACCTGCATATTTCATTAGTAGCTTGACTACACGTACAATTTCAGGTTAAAAGCAATTTTCTCTCCATTACTTTTGGTGTATCTGATTGTAGATGCTGGCCCTCTCAGATTGCTGCACAGTTGTCCTCTGTCCTGTTTTGATGTGTATGAATTAGTGCTTCATGCTTGAGTGTGTGTGTGTGTGTGTGTGTGTGTGTGTGTGTGTGTGTGTGTGTGTGTGTGTTTCTTGCCCTCCCCAATCTCTGGCTTTTCTAGTCTTTCCACCCTGACTTCCATGATGAGTCTTGGGGGTGATGTAGAAGTCCTATTTTGGGCTGAACATTCTATTGACATTTATTCTCTGCATCGGTGAGTTGTGTTTTTCTGTGTTAACCACCAGCCACTGTGAGAAGAAACTTCTCTGATGAACTACACTAGTCTGTGGGTATAAAAATACGAATTTCGAGGACACTTTGATTTTGTGTCCCTTTAGCAGAATACTAGTAGTAGGTTACCCCAGGGGCCTATGAGCTCCTCAGCTATGGTTTTGACCAAATTTACATTTTGGCTGAGAAGATTAACATCTTAGAGATTGACTGTTTCGTCATGTACATTTTTCAACTGGCCATTTTCAGACCCATTCCCGAGTCTGTCCTCTGCTGTCACCTTTGCTCCAAATCTAAGCTTCTGAGGGACTGGACCAGCAGGCATGCTTCATACTGATTCTCTCCTACAGCTTCTTCAGAGTACAGCTTGCTCTGTCCACTTTAGTCATAGTACAGCTGGTTGTTTTTCACCAATTTGTTGAAATTGATTATCTCCCTGTCTTACCTGTTTGGAGCTTAAACTCTTTTAAGATTTTATGGCAGCATTACTTTTTTCCTGCTTTGTATACTTGTGTGAGTTTTAACACCATGATAGAGTACCATACAGGTCCACTATGTCCAATAACTCTTGTGAACCATCTCCTCATTGTTCCCTTTCCCCTGGAAACCACGAATATGTCCTGTATTTGTGTGGTCTGTCTTCTGCAATATTATAAACAATATTATAAATAGTATTCAGTATTTTAAACTAATTTATTTTACTTAGAATTTTTTTTGTTTGTTTTTTGTTTTTTGTTTTTTGAGACAGGGTTTCTCTGTGTAGCTTTGGAGCCTGTCCTGGAACTCACTCTGTAGCCCAGGCTGGTCTCGAACTCACAGAGATCCACCTGCTTCTGCCTCCCGAGTGCTGGGATTAAAGGCGTGCGCCACCACCGCCCAGCTTACTTAGAATATTTTGAGATTGATCTAGGGTGATGTGTCTGTCAGTTTTTCTTGTGCCCTTTTCCTTTAGTCTTGTTTTATTGCAGTAGGAGTGAAGAGGGAGTAACTCTTGAGGTCAGTACACCATCTTTGCTGTCTTGGTCATGACGACAATTAGCTCACTCTTACATCTTTTTCAAACCTAACGTGCCACTTTGTTTCAAGCACCAGAAATGTAGAAATATAGTTTTACAAAGTTTATGTCAAATTATATATGAGCTTCTCCATCTCTGAGTTGAAAATCAGTACTCTATAATAATTCCTGGAGTGTGTTTCCTTTCCTTTACACTCCAAGTTTGTCAAACAGTAGTTTGCTCTTTCATTTTCAATTTGAGTCAGCCTTTCATGTCAAAATGGCACTGCATTCTCTTCACTGTCACCTGTCTGAAAGATTCAGTAGAGAGTCCAAATGTGGATTCAGAGGCTGTTGAGCACTTACCAGCTGTATCTATAGATTGCTTCATTTCCTAGACCATTTGTAAAATTGGGGTTTCATTACCTACTTGACATTTTGTTTTGAGAAGTGATGGATGGAAAGCATGTAGAAAAATTATACCAAATTAGGTATACTGGCCAGTTTTATTTCAACTTGAGCATAAAGAGAAGAGAGCATCAGTTGAGAAAATGCCCTTACCAGACTGGCTTGTGGGACATTTTCTTAATTAGTGATTGATGTGGGGATGGCCCAGCCCATGTGGGTGGTACCATTCCTGTGTAGGTGGTCTTGGGAGTATATAAGAAAGGAAACTGAGCAAGTCATGAGGAGCAAGCCAGTAAGCAGCACTCCTCTATGTCCTCTGCATCAGCTCCTGTCTTCAGGTTCCTGCCCTGTTTGAGTTCCTCCCCTGGCTTTCTTCGGTGATGGACTGTTATGTGGAAATGTAAGCTGACATAAACTCCTCTCCAAGCTGCTTTTGGTCATGGAGTTTTATATCAATAGAAACTCTTAAGACACAAATTGTTACCAGGTAGTGGGGCTATTCCTATAATAGACTTGACCATGCTTTGTGGGAGGATTGTGAGGGGACTTTGGAACTTTGGGCTAGAAAAACTGTTGAGTGCTGAGAGCTTAGTGGACTGTTGTATGTCAGCTTGAAAGTAGAGTGATGCAGACAATGAAGGGGTGATGCAGACAAGACCTGTGGTCCAGAGGGGGCCAAGGCTCCATCTCATTCTGGCAGCCAACTTGATAATGTGCAAGAGTTTCCCAGGTGGTACTGATCTTGACATAAAAGGGTCATGGAGAGCAGCTGAGGCTTGGCATTGGGAGAGGCCATTGGTGAATGTGTAGCTTGAGTGTAGTCCTAGAAGCCCTAGGACTGACAGAGTTATGGTCAGAAATTTAGGTGTAGTGCCATGTGGCAAGGTTAGAGTCGCTGAAAAGAGCACAGGTGAAGCTACTGGTAAAAGTGCAACCCAATTGCAGTGGAGACCCCAATATTTTGGAGATGTGACTATAATGGAATGACCACTAAGGACAGCATCATCCATGAAGTGAAGCTGCTTGGGCTTGTGCCTCCTAGGAAACAATCTATGTGTTATGTATGAAAGAGCCAGAGAAATGTCGCTGCCAAACTCTTTGGAGCCCAGAAGATCATGAAGGAATCCCAGAATTGAATTAATCTGTTAATAACACAACTGGTAATCATTACATTAAAGTTTATACTGTTGGACTTTGGTTTTGTTTTTATTTGTGACTGTGCCCTGGTAATTCTCTCATAGAATAACAAAGTATTTTGATTTTAATTTTACAGGAGTCCAACAGTTGAGATACTTTGAACTTTAAAGAGACTGGAGTTTTAGAAAGTTTTGAATATTTTAAAAGAGACTTTGGACTTTTAAGTGTTTGAAATTTTAAAGACTGTAGGACGTTTTAATGTTGAAATGTTTTAAGCCTCATGTGGTGGTGCATGCCTTTCATCCCAGCACTTGGGAGGTAGAGGCAGGTGGATCTCTGTGAGTTTGAGGCCAGCCTGGTCGGTCTACAAATCGAGTTCTAGGACAGCCAGGGCTGTTAAACAGAGAAACCCTGTCTTGAAAAAAACAAACAAACAAACAAACCCAAAAAAACAAAACAAAATGTTGGAACATTTTATATTGTGATGTTGATATTACTGTGAGATTTTGGGGGGATGAACAAGAAAGGAAAGGTTATGGCCTAATGGTGATGTGTTCGTGTGTCAAGCTGATAAGGGTTCAACGTGACACAAACTAGAGTCATTTGGGAAGAGAGAACTCAATTGAGGAAATGCTCCCACTAGATTGGACTGTGGGTAAGTCTGTGGGACATTTTTAAAATTAGTGATTGGTGTGAAATTAACTCACATCTTGTGAGTGGTGCCAGTCCTGGGTAGGTCGTCTTAGGAGTATATAAAAAAGTAAATGAGCAAGTCATGAGGAGCAAGCCAGTAAGCAGCAGTCCTTGTGGTTTCTGCATCAGATCCTGCCTCCAAGTTCCTGCCTTGAGTTTCTTACTTGGCTTCCTTCAACGATGAACTATGATGTGGAAGTGTGAGCAAATTAAACCCTTTCCTTTCCAAGTTGCCTTTGGTCATGGTGTTTCCTCACAGCAATAGAAACCATAAGTAAGTACCCAATGAATTGTTTCCATCCATTTCTGTCAAGCCAAACAA